AATTTTTGGTGGTAAAGGACATTCAACATATTTCACTATTTTAAAATAATTAACCTTTGTGTAACAATCAGTATAATCAACAAACCAACACAAGATTATATTATGTTATTATAAATGTTTATTTTTATTCATTACATACAGATAGACATTATAGACTCCCAAATGTATTTACTATTTTTCCTTTGGTAACAAACAATAGATATTATTTAATATTTTTTACAAGAAACAAGACTTTAAATAGTTTTATAAAAACAAAAATGTTATTGTATTAATTAACTATTTTATGTATTCTCATCAAATGAAATTTTAAGTGATGATTTCTAGAAAAACGCTTTGAACATATTATGCATTGAAATTTTGGTTCAACGCCGCATTCATACACCAAATGCTGTCTGAGGTTATGCTTTCTATGAGGACCTTTATAGAATTTACCACATTCGTTTGGACATTTAGCTGGATCTATTTGTGCTATCCAATTAAGTTGAGGTAACCAACCGCAAGACACTTCTAAAAATAACAAAATAAAAATAATTTATATAGTAAAGTATGAAATACATTTGAATATTTAATTTTTAAAACGCGTCAATCATATAAATTAAAATACATTTGTATACAAATTTGACTAATGAAATACAAATTCAAATGTTTTCTCCATATTAAAATAAATATTTTTTGTGGAACATTCGTTATAATTGGTTAGGTAACAATAAAATAACAAAATAATGTATTATATTGTTATACATTATTATTTTTATTTTTTAAGCATTGGTTTAATATAAATTCACAAATTTTTTTATAATATTATTATTAGACAGTTCAATAGATATTATTTATTATTTTTGACTTTTGTCTGTTGCTACCTTATAAAAAGGCGATTATTGTTTGACAAATTAGTTGGACTACAAAAGTTTACAAAAGCTAAACAACTACAAGTACTTCATATAATTTCTATCAGGGCCAAACGTTGTACAAAAATCAAAGTTAATGTCAAAAATGTCAATATATTTTTAAGTAAAACAAATTTAATTAAAAATGTGACAACACTTAGTAAAATGTTTTGAAAACTATGAAAGAACTTGTCTCAAATTATTTTGTTACATACATTTTTGTCATAATTCAATAACAATAAGAGTGTTAATAAGAGTATTGTACATAAATATTTATCAGATATAAGTACTCTAGCCTAGGCCTTATACTAATAGACGGAGCATGCCTGGCTGGTGGGATTGAGTAGTTCAGTCATGGAAATTTGTGTTACATATATGTGCTATATATTATATACAGTAATAAACAGTTATTGTATCATCTAGTGTGCATGTGCAGTGTATGATGTACTATCTTATTCAGCATCGTCACTCGAAGATTCCAGAACTACTACCACGTTTTGTCTATTAGTATAAGGTCTATGACCCTAGCTAAGATTTTGATTATTAAATTCGCTTCATATGTTTAATATAATATTTAGAAATTTTACAATACACTATACAATGCATAATAATAAAACTAATATTCCAAAGCTAATTGCACATTAGAATTATTTTAGATTAGCGATGTAGACAGAAATCAAATTTATTTTATTTTTTATGATTTTTATATTTTAACAAAGTACAACCATTTAATTTGATTTAAATGTTCAATAATTTAATTTAATAATTTGATTATGATAAGAAATATGATTAAAAAGCATAACATTCAAATAATATTTTTTTTTTATTTACTGAAGTATGTATTTTGAGTTTTGCATCCTATGCACATAATATTAGTGGATAAAAATAGTTATTTAAGAAGCAGGATAAATTATTTTAAATTTTGGAGCTATATACATGTTCAATACAAAGTTATGAAAGGCTATGTTATCCTCTTTACCCTACAAAAAAGTTCATCCAAAAGGATTAATTCTTCATTTTTGCAGTAGGTAACACATCATTAATATTAATATTTATCATAAATACTTAAAATACTTAGTACCTACTTAACTTACATGACACTTAAATTAAAATAAAGTGTATCTCTAAAAACTTAATTTAAAAAATACAGCCTTAAATCGATACACCTTTCTTTTTTAATTCCATCCAAGAGGGGAGTATGGCCTACTTAAGTGGGTACACAATATCAATTACAACTTGTAGTGACATTTTGAGGTACATAATTCTTGTAGAACGGCCAGTGTTGACGGTAAACATTTTATTTAACAAATACAATTCACTACTAATATAAATGAAAACAATTTTATCTGATACAGTATTTATCAGTATTTGACTGATAATGAACCAGACCATTAAAGTGTTTAATATAACACATTTTGCTGTGTTAAGCAGCAATTTTATGTATTCTAATTAAATGATATTTTAACTGAGGGTTTCTAGCGAAACGCTTTAAACAAATTCTGCATTGAAATTTTGGTATAACACCACATTCATACACCAAATGTTGTCTGAGATGATGCTTTCTATAAGGTCCTTTATACAATTTACCACATTTGTTTGGACAACTGGCAGGATCTAATTGTGTTATCCAATTAAGTTGAGTTAACCAACTGCAAGACAATTCTAAAAAATTAAAATTAAAACAATTAATATTATTAATTATCAAATATTTAAATTGTAAAATGTGTCAAAAATATATAGTATTATGCTTAATAGTATGTATACAGTGTTGCCCACATGCCTTTACCCATTGTTAGTACTAATACTATGCACATTAAATTATTGTCTATTTGAAAATAATCAACTAAATATCTTAAGAGTATAAGATATCTAATAAAGATTGATTTAAAGAATAGTTTATTTATGTTTACTGAATACTGTCCACCATAGAAGATATACATTTTATTTTTTTGTTTTACAGCCTTGGAATACAAATCTTAAATGATTTAAATATGCAGTTTCAATGTTTTCAAATGTGTTGAGATTATTTCAAAATAAATTAATAGCATTTTTGAAACAAACATTAAATTTATTAATAAAACCAGGGTTTTAATGAATAGTTATTATATTATTGCAATGATTGCTTTTGTTTGAATGGGGGATTTTAACTAACCTGTAATTTAAGTCAAGATGCAACATGACATAAATGCAGTTTAGTTTTACATTTTTACAATTCCAATAGCTACCTTAATTACTTTAACTATTTTAATTTAAATATTTTTCTTATTCATATAAACAAATCTATACAACATAAATCAAAAATGAGAGTTATAAATTAATTTATGAACAGATATTGAATGGATTTTCAATGTGTGCTTGCGAGCAAATTTTTTTAAGCAAATTATACATTGGAATTGTGGATTAACACCACATGCATAAATTAAATGTTTTTTTAGATTCCGTTTGCGATCCAAACCTTTATACTCATGGCCACAACCATTTGGGCAGATTGCTGGGTCGTTTTTACTAGCTTTATTTAATAACTCGTTCATATAATTCTCTGCAAATATAAAATTGTAATTATATTTAAAAAAAAATATAATGCCAATAACCTGGCTATCAAAGCGAATATGAATAATAATTTAAAAAATGTATTTATATATAATAATTAATTGGCAAAATAAATGTACTAACAATAAATACAATACAATTTAATCTCAAAAACAATTGTAGTACATACATAGTCATACATTGTGTAAGGCCAAAGCTAAGTTCTATTCTTTCATCCCAATATAACAAGAGGAGGAAATATTTTTTTAAAGTAAGTATAAGTATGCTTGTTGTAATAAACATATAAATAACAACATTTTTCATAGAGGTACTTGAGTACAAATCAAAGTGTACTAGGAAAATATCATTGATGATCTATCTTGATATGGCATGTCAACATTTGCTTACGTCTGAAATTTTTTGAAAAATATATATATACTAAAGTTTTTGTTGATGAGTAGTGAGTAAATAGTACTGAAATGTATGGTTGTACTGAATGGATTTAGGCATATAACTCATTTAAATTTTGTGTGCATATTCTCATGAATATTTTAAATGTCTTTTCAAATTGAACTTGTGTTCTGTGCTTTTATACAAACGACCACGGCCATTTGAGGAGAATGCTGGGTCAATACTACTAGCCATAATTAAAAACTCTTTCAAATGATTCTTTGAAAAAGTAACATTTAAATTATTTTATATTATTAGCTAAATATGATTTAATTGTACATTGCTGAAATATATAATTCCTTTATGAGGGCCAAAGTTCTCAGACTACAAATTAATTTAACATTAAAATAATATACATCACAAAGTTATTAAATTATTTTTTACACAAAAAAACCGTACCTAAACATACATAATTTTAAGTTCACTTTTTAAATTCAAATTTATAGCAGTTAAGTGTATTTATGTACAACATTTTTCAGATTTTAAAAAATATAAAATGATTTTTAGCAATATTTAAAGGGATTTGGTGGTAGTGTATATATAAGAAGATTGGTATAGCAATGTTTAAAATGTTTGTGTGCATGACTTGCGACTGTGTTTGTAGTAAATTATTATTAGTGTGTATAGTATACACTGCATTCATACTAATAATTGATGCCCTTGCACTCGCACATAAAAGTCTTCACCGCAGCGTTGCACGGGTGAGCGTTTGTTTTTTTTTGGCCAAAAGTATGTAATTTTTGTCAATTCTACCAATATGCCTAATAATGCGATAAAACTTTGCAAACTTATCTGAATTTGTTAGGATGATTACTTGAGATCAATAAATCCACATTTAGAGATTTCTGATTTAAATTCTGCACAATCAACATGTGAAATGTCTTAAATTTTAATATATTTGAATCAAGTTATAAGAGCTGGTTCACAAAATTGGGGAAAGTGGACTGATTGTCAAGTACACATAATAACAAAATTTAAATTAGTCTTCTAAAGTCTTGTCGCATCACTAGGCTAGTGGGTATGATTAACTAAATATCAGTATGTTTTGGTAAAAAAAACTTACCCGCCACCAAACCCTTGGAGAAAAAAAAATTAAAATCACATAATTTTTTAATGCATTATTCAAAATTATACATTATATTTGTCATATATTTTACTTTATTAATAAAAGCAAAATATTGCAACATTTTCTTCAACTAATTACAAAAATATCTTAAATATGTTTAATGAATAGTCATCATATGATACAGCAACGATGCCTTTTTTTTGTATTTTTTATGGCATACTGTACATTGAAATTTTGGGCATGATTGTTTCAAATGTCTTTTTAGATTGGACTTGCGTTCTGTGCCCTTATATGAATGCCCACAACCATTTGGGCAGAATGCTGGGTCATTTTCACTAGCCATATTTAATAACTTGTTCATATCGTTTTCTGCAAATATAACATTTAAAAAATTTTACATTATTAACTAAATATAGTTTAGTTGTACAACACTCAAACATAACAGGCCTTTAAAATGGATTAAGTTCTCACAGTAGGAATTCATTTTAAATAATTAAAACATAAATAGAACCAAGTTACAAAATACTGTTTTTACACAAAAAAAAAAACCACGATCTTTGTATTTTTAATCATACAATATAATTTTATGTTTATTTTTTAAATTTAATTTCATAGCAGTGTAGTTATGTAGTTATGTACCTACCACGTGTTGTAAAATGCACAATAAAAAAAAAACTGTACTTTATATTCTATTATATAGAATTATATACTATATATTTTAACATTAAATACACTTGACGTAAATACACTTGCTTTGTTTTTTAAAAAGATTTTTTCATAAATTATTACATTTTTTTTTACATGTAGTCTTAAAAAATATTAAATATGAATAGTGTATTGTATACAATACATAAATATTATTAAAATATTTATGATACAAGGCTAAATGAACTGAACTCAGTTTAGTGCTAAGTAAAATAAAATATTCATGTAATATTTTAGTTTTAAAAATGTTTGTTATTTACATTAAAGCTATATAATATTAAATCAAATAAGAATTAAAATGCTGTTTGTGAATAGATAATAAATGGCATTTCAAAGTATGCTTGCGAGCAAATTTTCTCAAGCAAACTTTACATTGAAATTGTGGATTTTGGCCGCATGCATATATCAAATGTTTTTTCAGATTTTTCTTGCGTTCCGTGCCGTTATATGAATGACCACAACTATTTGGGCAATATGCTGGGTCGTTTTCACTAGCCATATTTAATAACTCGTTCATATGATTCTCTGAAAATGTAATATTTAAATTATCTTACATTATTACTAATATGGTATAGTTGTACAATATTGAAATATATCATTCCATTAAATGGTCCAAAGTTCTCATACTATAAATTTATTTTAACAAGTATAACATACATAACCAAGTTACAAGATTATGTTTTACAAAAAATTTATCTTAGTATTTAAACATACATTTTTAAAATTTAATTTCAGAGCAGTATTATGTAATTACCATGTGTTGTAAGACATACAATGAAATGCATATAAATAAATAATTGTTTGTACCAAATTTCAAAAATTGAACATTAAGTTGTATTTTATTATCTATATATACTATATTTCATCCTTTATACAAGAAGTAAGTACATAGTGTATGTTATTTAAAAAGCTTTTTTTTGTTATTTTAGATTTGTACAACTGTATTTGTAAAATAATCATCATTTTTTGTTAGTTGTTACATTTTGACATTTAGTCTCGAAAAATATTGAATATGAATAGTGTATTATATATAATACACAAATATTATTAAAATACTTATGATACAAGGCAAAATGAACTAAGCTCAGTTTAGTACTAAGTAAAATAAAATATTCATGTATTACTTTAGTTTCAATAATGTTTGATATTTACATTAAATCTATATAATATTAAGTCAAATAAGAATTAAAATTTTTTTTGTGGATAGATAATAAATGGCTTTTTAAAGTATGCTTGCGAGCAAATTTTCTTGAGCACATTACACATTGAAATTGTGGATTTTTGCCGCATGCATATATCAAATGTTTTTTGAGATTGTGTTTGCGGTGTGTACCAATATACGAATGACCACAACCATTTGGACAGAACACAGGATCATTTTCACTTACTTTATTTAATAATTCCATCATGATATTCTCTGTAAATATAATATTTTAGTTTTTTTATTTAATTGGCTAACTATAAGTATACAATAATGTAGACTTTAGTTGATGTTGAGACACATAACTCCTTTAGAAAGGTTATAGCAACTGATACTAAATGTTTTTTTCTACAGTACAACACAGCCATACAGCTATTGCAAGAAATAAGAATACATCTTAATGTAAGATTTTTATTAATTAGTAATTATACTAAAAACCAAATATGAAATTTTTGAGACTTTCATGGATTGTCAATTGGTAATATCCCTATTATTTTTGTGTAAAATATTTTGTAAATGGATAATGGATACATAAATAAAAAAAACTCAATGTTACCATAAAATATAATGAATTAGATCGAAATAGATTTTTGCTTCAGATATTCCACAATTATGTAGCAACTTGAAAAACAATCTGAATAGGTTAAGTTGATGTGTTCTTCAAATCAAAATATATTTTATTTTTAAAATTGAAAGAGGACAACATTTTTAAACACAAACAATATTCATTTTTAAATTTCTATTCGTTTTTTTGCAATACTAATTTTCAAATTGTGGGTTACTGAAGCATGTATAATGCTATAAATGTATTTCCATTTTTTTTATTTAATTAAATACGAAATTAGTAGGTAATCTCTAGTATGGTAACTGTATGGAGGATGGTTCGAAAATAATCAGAAGCCTTTTGATTTTAATAAAATATGCCAATATGGTTTACTTTTTTTCAGTTTTGTGGTAACAAACAACTTGGGAAAACATATTAATTGAGATTGTTTTAGTTTAAGGTTTCCAATATTTAAGGCTTAGGCAAATTTAAATATTTCCTAAGTAAACTAAGACTGTAAACTTGACACTATGGTCAAATAATACGTAATATTTATCTGTTTTTGAATAATATGTAGGCATATAAATAATTGTAACAGATGTACCAATTGATAATGGTACAAACACAGGATCACTGGAATGAATTATATGGACCATGAACAGATAACGGATATGACAGGTGACAGAGATGTAGCTATAATATAATAATATATACAATAATTATTATAGAATATAGATACTTCATATATAAATCTAACTTTATGATAAATTGGTAACTAATCAAGTACAAATTAAAACCTAAAAGTTATCATTAATTTTGTTTCAAATATTTACAGTTAAATAAAAATAATAAACATAAAAGCAGAAGCTGTATACCTAGGTATTTATTTTACAATAAATTCATTTTTGATTTTTAAAATATACATATTTGATGAATTTTCATCATATGACACTTCAATGATCCGTTGTTTCTGAACTTGATTCGGAAAACTGTACATTGAAATTGTGGGTGAACGCCACTATATATTTCAAATGATGTTTGTGATTATATTTGTGATTTAACAAAATTTATTCTACAAAATTGTATATATTAGGGAACAATTTGTTGATGAATGTTGGCTACGTGATACCGTAACGATTGCTTATGTTTGAATTGTTTTCTGCAAAATATACAATGAAATTGTGGATTTTTCCCGCATGCATCCACCAAATGTTTTTTGAGATTCTGTTTGCTGTTCTTCCCAATAAATGATTGGCCACAACCATTTGGACAAATCATTCGATATTTTTCCAAAGACTGGTTCTTTACTGAAAATATAATATTTAAATTATTTTATATCATTGACAGTACATAGTTAATTTAGAATGTCTTAGCCCTGTGATTAGTATTAAATTTTGTTTTTAACGAAATTTTTTCGTATTTATACAAAGATCATTAGGAGTGATCCTCTTTGAATTTAAACTTTGTACTTATAGGTTTACATTTCAGTTGCTATTATTTAATATTGAAATTAATAAATTGCATTCTTATAAGTTATAGACTATAGCCTTTTAATAAAATTCCATTCTTTCTTTTTGATAAACCTAAATAGTTGCGTAACAAGTCGTAATTTCCTAAACATAGAAATAGTTAGTATTTTAATACGAGTACAAATTAAATATTAAACTACAATTATAATTTAAAAGTTTAAAGTACAAAAATAATATTTTTTAAAGAATATTTTCTTGATGAACAGTGGTTAAGTGATACTGTAACGATTGCTTATGCCTGAATTGTCTTGGGCAATATATACAATGAAATTGTGGATTTTTCCCGCATGCATAAACCAAATGCTTTTTGAGACTGTGTTTTCGGTGAATGCCAATATATGAATGACCACAACCATTTGGACAGAATACTGGATCATTCTCAATTACTTTATTTAATAATTCCATCATGGTATTATTGGTATTCTCTGAAAACATAACATTTTAGTTTTTTTATTTTGTTGGCGAAGTATAAAATATATGCTGTATATAATATACACAGTGGTTGCTTTTGTGATACATTTAACTTCTTTAAAATGGCTAAGAAGCTGATACTAAATGTTTCTTTTCTACAATACAACACGGCGAAACAGTCATTTAAAGAAAATTTTTTTTTTTCATTCTGTATTAAAAAAAAACTTTATTTATATTATATAATAAATAATTTAATTGAAACCAATTATGAAATAATCAAACCTACGAAACAGGCTGATCTATTACCATGAATATTTTCGATAATACCTTTGTTATTTTCCTTAAAAAGACGACTTTGAACATATAATTTCAGTGTCAAACTCCAGAGTGGTCCTGTTCCTGATATCTTACGTTGGATCGTGATTTTTAACATAGCGGAAGACAAAAATCTGGGTATTGAAATACAATCAACAGAATTGTTATTAAAATGTACGGGTGAAGTTCTGTATACATAATACATTTTGAAACAAATAAAACAAATCAAAGTATTGTGTGTTTAAAATCAAAGTCTACTATATTTATAAATTTGAAATAGTTCTACATTTTTAAATATAAATAATATTAATTTTCAGGTGTTACATTTAAACAAACATAAAATTATTAAATTAAAAGTTGTTGATGATTAGTCATCATATGATAATCTAATGATCTTTTATTTCTAATCGTTTTTTTGCAATATTTACATTCTATTTTTGGGTTAACAAAGCATGAATTACTTAAATGTCTTTTTAGATTTTTTTTGCGATATCTTCCATTAAACACAGTACCACAACTGAATGGACACAATATTGGGTCATTTTCACTAGTATTATACAATATTTCCAATATGGTATTCTCTGCAAACATAACATTTAAATTGTATTATTTTATTGACTAAATATATTTATACCAGAAATCCAAAGCACAATTATGGTTAATGTTGATTCTGATTCTTATACATTCAATATTGCAAACTAAAAATAATTATATGACAATACATGAACATTAAAAGTTTGACTTTATTAAATTCCCAACAACCTTAACATATTTTAAACCCAATATTAAGTATAAATTAAGTAAATTAAACATGGAGTTAGTCACTTAAGCATAGTATTTGTGCGAAAACAAGGTCAAAATAAATCAGAAGTCTTCTAATTTCAATCAACAGATTACGATTTTTTAGTGTTACGGCCAGAGACGTATACAGAAATATGATGCTAATGTACAATCATTTGGAAATGATAAATTCAGGTCAGTATAATAAGGTGTCTTAGGAGTATGTTAAACTGATATTTGTTGTTTTCGTCTCACAAGTTCATAACATAGCACATTTTACGCTCAACAGATCACGTTGAGCTTCGTTACTTTAAAAAGTAGAGTGAATTGACCTCTTATACAATTTAAGTCACTTATTCACCCTATTATCAAAACTAGCAGCACAATATTGAAACTCGTGAACGAAAAATTGCTATACGGTACGTGTGTAAGACAGAGATAACAAATACATGGGTAGCATCCTCTTAAGCAAAAAATTCTAAAGATGAGTATAAGATTGAGGAGATATTGATTATTGGTATAGGTAGGTACGGAGACAACTCATACTTGTGCGAAATCCAGCGTTTTCTTTAACTTAAATAATGTTTAAATTAGTTATATTTGAAACAGTTAAGGCAATTTATTTAACTATTCAAGAACAGAAGACTGGCCTTGTAAAATAATACCACACTTAAAAAACTAATAGCTCGGCGGGCATCTAGCCTCTCCCTCCCCCTAAATACGTCTCTGGTTATGCAGAAATATGAGCTGGAAGAACACACTCGTCGAGATAATTATCAGGGTTAAGTTAGCAGCTATTGTCTAGAAAAATTTAAATATTCCTAAAATGAGCTATAACTAAAAACTAGACAATCGCTTTTATTGTTAAATGACTAGTTAAAAAACTAATAGTTATCAATTATTATACATTTGTTTTCAACATTTAAGTAGGTGTTTGAAAATAATAATTAAAGTCTGCCATTATTGTACAATTCTTTATTTGTATTTTTTACATTACACTTTTTTTATTTTTAAAATATGCATGTTTGATGAACTGTTATTATATGATACTTCAGTGATTGTTTTTTTCTGAATTGTTTTTGGCGAACTATACATTAAAATTGTGGGTTAATGCCACACGCATAATTCAAATGATGTTTGAGATTGTTTTTGCGGTTTGTACTTTTATACGATCGGCCGCAACCATTTGGACAAAACATTGGATCTTTTTCAAGTCTTATTCGTGTAATTAACTGAAAATAAAACATACAAATGTCTTAATATTGATGACAAAATAAATTTTGTTTATGAATAATAAAGCTCTACATTTTTTAAATTTTCTTAAAAGGTTTTTAGCGTGCTTTCTTTAAGTATTTCCGAGAGATGATTCGATTTAAATAACTATTATTAACAATACAATTCAAACACACTTCATTTTCATTAGTATTAAATAAATGCATTCTCTATTTTCAAATGTATTATATATTCTCTAAATATAGTAACCTAGTATCTAATGTAGTATCAATAATAAAATAGTATAGTATATTTTAGTATGGTTTTTACCGAGAGCATATGCATATTATAAAAAAACACATATATTTTAATTAAATTATAATAATAGAAATTAAATTAATTCTTTAATTTATTTATTCTATTATATTTACCTTAAATTTATTTAGTAAAAATTATATTATAAAAACATATATTTTAATTTATACCATAAATATAAAATTGTACTTACTATAACTAAAAAATTGGAACGAACGTAACTACTAACATTTTTTTACAGGACTTAATTTACATACCACCTTTTTTCGGGACTCAACTTACCTACTACCTTTTTTTCAATTATTGTTACAATCAATATATTCTATCCTTATGACATTTAAATAAATTCGTTCTTTGTATAATATAAATATTCTAATTTTGAAGCCAAGGCCAACGATATTTCCTAAACATAACTACATAAGTATTATACACCTGTAACGATTGCCGTCTATCGGCATCGTACATTATTCCTTAAGTAGGGCACCCGCTGCCTAATATGCTGAGTGTGAGGAATAGCGATCGCAGCTGACTGTTGACAAAGGGTTTTAGGCACGCGACAGCGGTGTATATAATAATTATGACCGAGGCAGTGTGTGAGAAAAGTGTGCGACCAACGACAACAGCAACATCGACTCCGCGACGATCCGACGGCCCCATCAACGATCCACACTCACGGCACGTCATCATCTACCCGGATCGGTAAACCCTTATATGTATACTGTATGTATCTGTCCTATATTATATTACATATTTATTTATATTATACCTATGTGCTTACTTCAATAAGGTAACCCTGATCTCTTAGTATTAATATTACACACCGAGGTCGAGTCCCCGAGACCTCGTAAAAATAAAACAGAACTTCAATCTGTAGGGTTCGAGAGACGAACGCCCGGTGAAGAGGGGACGTTACACACCCAATTAATAATTTAAATACAATTTAATTTATAAATTTAAATCATAAATACTAAGTTTAATTTACAAAAATATATTTTTTAAAGTTTATTTTCTTGATGAACAGAGGTCAAATGAAACGTTAACGAGCGCTTATGCCAGAATTGTTTTTTGCAAAATGTACAATAAAATTGTGGTTTAGTTACACCACAATCATTCTTCAAATGATATTTAAGATTGTATTTGCGGTGTCTTCCTTTGTAAGAACGACCACAACCACTTGGACAAGACAATGGATCTTATCCAAAAGCCTGATTCATGTAATTAACTGAAAACAAAATATTTAAATTATTTTAAATCTTAAACAAAATATTGTTGATTTAAACTGCTAAAATTAATTAATACTTATTTTTTTTTTTAAGGATCATTTTGATTGATAACTATTATACTTCAATTTTTATACTTGGGTTTTTGTTTCAATCATTTTTGAAACATTAAAACGAATATACCTCATCCTTATGAATACCTTTAAACATGGGATACATTCATTGTTTTTGAAAAACTAAAATATGCAACATCTGTAGCCGTCGGTATTTTACGAACATTAAGTAAGTATTTGAATACTATTGAAATAATACATTTAAATTCCAAATACAAAGTTTATTTTACAAAAATGTACTATTTAATGTTTATTTTCTTGATGGACAGTGACTAAATGATACTGTAACCACAGCTTATGCTTGAATAGTTTTCCGCAAAATGTACAATTAAATTGTGGTTTAAGGCCACACGAATACTTCAAATGACGTTTGAGATTATGTTTACGGTTTCTACCTTTGTACGATCGGCCACAACCACTTGGACAAAATAAGGAATCTTCTTCAAAAGCCTGATTCATATTGTAATTTACTGAAAAAATAATATTTAAATTATTTTAAATTATTAACAAAAATATAAAAACATATAGGTAATTAATTGGGCCGCCACAGCGCTGATGATTCTTTTGTTTCTAAGGGGCTTTTAGCATATTTTTTGATGATCGTTAGGCTATTTATAGGCATAAGTCAATTTTGATTTTTTTGCTTTTTTATAATTAATTATTGTCCATTAAAGAGAATTTTTGCTCGTCAATTTTTATAGCTAAATTTAAAATACAGATTTTTATGAAAAGACGATACTGTAATCCAAAAATAAATTGCATTTACATACAGTGCTTAAGTGTTATATAGTTATTCTAATTTCAAATTAGGTCAAAATTAGATATTCAAACGAAGAACAGGTAACGATTTTAGTTTATTTGTTGTAATTTAAAAATATTTTTCATGAGTAGGTATAGGTACTATTGAAACTTTTAAAGTGTATTATTAAATTATTTTCAAATGTTTTAGGCAAATGATTTAACCTACCTACTCTAGTACTAATGCCTAATAGCAAAATAAATTACACAATACTTAATATCATATGCTTAGTAATATAATAGGCTGACAGACCGTATTCGCTCAGAATTGTTTTTCAATAATATGATTCGTGATTATATAATACATAGGTACATATTATTGAATTTAATTTAAAAACACATACGTTACAGTGACTTTTAGGCACCTAATATAATATATCGTTACGCACTTGCCCACTACTTAAAGTTCATTTTCTTGATGAACAGTAATCAAATGATACTATAACAATATATATTTTATTTGATTTGTTTTCAGTAAAATGTACAATAAAATTGGCTTTTGTTTCAATTATTTCTTTTTGAAAAACTTAAATACGCCTTTTTTGCAGATGTCAGTATATCCTAAACATCGGTAGGTATAGTAAGTATATTTATACAATTGAAATAATAAATTACAATTACAATTACAAAGTTAATTTTACAAAAATATATTTTTTAAATTATAATTTTTTGATGAACACTGGATATATGATACTGTAACGATTGTTTAGACCTTAATTGTTTTCCGCAAATTGTACAATTAAATTGTGGTTTTATGCCACACGCATACTTCAAATGATGTTTGAGATTATGTTTCCGGTTTCTACCTTTGTACGATCGGCCACAACCACTTGGACAAAATAAGGAATCTTCTCCAAAAGCCTGATTCATGTCATTTACTGAAAATATAATATTTAAATTATTTTAAATTATTGACAAAATACAAAAACCAAATAATACTATAACAATATGTTTTATCTGATTTGTTTTCAGCAAAATGTACAATATAATTTTGCTTTTGTTTCAATAACTATAAAAACGACCGTTATATGCATTATCCTTATACCTAACCTTTTAATAAAATGCTATTATTTCTTTTTGAAAAACTTAAATACGCCTCTTTTGCATATGTCAGTATATCCAAAACATTGGTAGTTATACTTAATATATTAATTCAATTGAAATAATAAATTACAATTACAATTACAAAGTTTATTTTACAAAAATATATTTTTTAAAGTATAATTTTTTGATGAACACTGGATATGTGATACTGTAACGATTGTTTAGACCTGAATTGTTTTCCGCAAAATGAACAACAAAATTGTGGATCAATGCCACACATAAACTTCAAATGTTTTTTTAGATTGTTTGTGCAGTTTTTCCCGATATACGATCGGCCACAGCCATTATTTGGACAAAACACACGATATTTTTCAATATTCTGATTCCAGACCGTAACTGAAAATAAAATACTAAAATTATTTTATGTCATCAACAAAATATAGTTAATTATATATTGATGATACTAATTTGGTTTTAATTTGCTATTCACCTATTTATATGTGGGTTATTATAGGATTGATTAATTTTGAATTACATTTTTATAATTGGGTTTTCGTTTCAATCAGGGTTTATTTCAGAGGGTGTCTGGAGGGTAGACAGTGGAGGGGTAATACCACCACGAAATATTCCCCTTCCCTCCGGGATAGAAGTTCTGAAATCAACACTGGTTTTAATAACTAAGACAACATTAATATTATCCTCATAACCTGTAAATAAAATTACATTCTTTCTTTTAAATTAAAACTCCAAATACAACTTTTGTTTTACAAAAACATATTTCTTAAACTATATTTTCTTGATGAACAGTGGCTAAACGATACTGTAATGATCGTTTATGCCTGAATTGTTTTCCGCAAAATTTACATTGAAATTTTGGACTAACGCCACATGCATAATACTAGGGATGGGCCGATACCACTTATTACCGATATCCGATATTCCGATATATGCTGCCGATATAAAACCGATACCCGATAATATATGGAAATGTTAAAACAACATTTTTGACAAAAAAAAACATGAGCCGATACCACCATAAAACCGATACCCGATAACACAAATAATATTCCCTAGAAAAGTGAAAACATTGATTATTATAAAATAATCAATAGTATTTGATAATAGTATTTATTAATAACCTAACCTGTGCATTTGTGAATTATGATACTATCAATACTATGCTGATCGATAGGTTTTTTTTTTGGTATCGGTTGAAATATCAGTTTTGAAAAAAAACCGATACCCATAAACCGATATCACCGATATCACCGATATCGGCCGATATCTAGTATCGGTTCTAGTATCCGCCCATCCCTACATAATACATATGCCGTTTGAGATTGTTTTTACGGTTTGTACCTCTGTACAATCGGCCACAACCATTTGGACAAGACAATGAATCTTTTCCAAAAATCTGATTTGTGTAATTGTCTGAAAAAATAATATTTACATTATTTTATACCATTGACAAAACATATTGAATTTAGAATGCTACAGTGCTAATATGTACAACGTTTTATTTGTACCGTGCTTTTGCGTATTTAATACGTGAGGGCACGTCTTGTGATGACTAAACAAACAAGCCATCGAACATTTAAGTACTATTTTAAAATGATTTATACAATATATTTAAATTCAAAACAAAAATTTTACTCTCAAAAAATGTTTTTACTTAATCATTTATATTTTGTTTATGAATTCTTAATTATGTTATGGATATAGGCTAAATGAACCTTTAATATTTGATTTGACCTAAATCGTTTTTGGCAAAATGTACATTCAAATTGTGCGTGAACTCTACAAGATAACATCATATGGCGTTTAAGATTGTGTTTGCGATATTTTCCTTTATAAGAATGACCACAAATATTTGGACAAAACATTGGATCACAATCAGGGATGCTGTCCAATAACTGCGTAATGGTAGCTTGATCTGAAACATAAATTGCAATCAATTATTTTAGTAAGTAACTAACTGAGAAATAGTTTAGTAAGCTTTTAAATTATATACACGTTATTATTTGTATTTTATAATATCTTTACACTGTACTGCTGAGCTAATTTTTTTTTTTGAGAAGGAACTTACATATAACGATAAATTTAAAAAAATAAGATGACCTATAATTGTTATCAAGTAACTCATATAAAATAAATATGAGTATGATGTGATTAATTATGTATAATTGTATAATTCATATATATTGAACTATGTAAAGAATAAAGACTTCAAAGATTATAATTATTTAACAATATATATATATAAAATATATAAACAGCATTTAATATATTAAATGTTTATTATACATCTTTTGATATAATAGTCCATAAGTTGTTGTAATATTATTTATATTATACCAATTAAGTATAAGTACATTTCATAATTATTTTATTTCAATATCAGTGCACATAAAAATTACGATATTATAGGTTTATTATCACATTAACTTTTTACAAGAAATATGAAAAAGTATTACATAACGTCATAATATATTTACAAAATACAGTGGTGTAGCCAGGATTTTTTTTCGGGGGGGGGGCTGATCAATTTTTTACACAGCGGTGGTTTAGTTTTTGATCGAATACCATAGACCATTAAATAATTTTTAAATTTTATTAACATTTCGGGGGGGGGGGCTGCAGCCCCCTCCGCCTACCCCCTGGCTGCGCCACTGACAAAATACACTTCAAGTCCTCGGCATACATAGGTAATACAATACATATTAAACTTAAATTGTATTTAAAACACTTTACGAGGACATTCACGCTCACAAGTGTTGTACCGTGCGTCCGTGCAAAGCAACTTGTACGAAGCAACTTAATATGTCTAGTGAAAAATACGAGTTCACTCGACAAAAGAGCATTTGTATTGAAGTACGTCAAATTTTATCCGCCAGACTTAGTTGAAAATACGTCCATATCAGATACAATACATCCATTGATATAACATGTAGGCTGTCTATATAGTAGGGCGATCTAGAATTACCAGAATTACCAGAATAACCTAACCTAACCTAACCTAACCTCGAAAAACAGTAACGAAAAACGAATTTGTTACGTCATACGCATCCATCTTGTGCACCCACCGTTCAGTAAAACGAGTACGTATATATACGTATATATACGTGTATGTATAGCGTATGAAAATAATTTAAAAATTGATGTTGGTATATCGCATCCTTCACTCCAATTAAAAAAAACCTATGACATAAAACGACTCATATTTTGACAATATATAATATTATGTTTAAGTTTTATTATATAGCGGAGCTATTAAATCTATATTTTAATGGACATTGTGTGAATTTACTCGGTGGACTGTTAAAGTTTCTTTTCTTGTATACTTTTTTAAACAAATATCACAACTGTATTTGAATAAAGACGTCACTTCACATTCGAATGACAAGTGCCTTTTCAGATTACCCTTACGGTTTTTTCCACTATACGACCGGCCGCAAGAATATGGACAAAAAACAGGATCTTCCAAGATTAATCTTTCAAACAGTTTAGCTACAACAGTGTAAAATAAAAAACAAATTAATACTTTTTTTATAAAGAACAATAACAGAACATACATGATACGTTGCTTACCAATACTATTAATAAATTAAATCCAGTGATAGGTACCCATGCAAGTTACAAAAAAAGCAGTCACTTAATTACAATTGATTACATTGCATGTCATCATATTTTATAAAACAAACACACATGTTAAATTTTGATGTGATCATTTACTTGTTTTAGATGAGTTAGTTATTGAATTTCATTTATACATATATATATATAAGATGTATGTTATATTAATACTTAGTTGGTTTAACCAAAATCTAATTTATCCTTGAGACCTTGAATATTATAGAATTTATGTACAAAAAATGTACAAGCAATTCACATAGTGTGCATAATTTTGTCAATAGGCAACTGTGTATGGCTGTACTGTCTTCAAGCTAAACAAATTCATTGATTTACAATCAAACAGATATCACAGATTTATACATGGGCAAACATATTATATAAATGATTATGCCCCCGAAACAAAATATGCACACTATATATACTAAAGTATAGGTTTACTAATTAATAATTAGTGTTCACCAAATTAATTCTTTATCAACTAATTTACATGATATATTTGTGTGGCTAGTCTCTTGAATAAAACTTGTATTTACTAATTTCTTAAGGAATAATGCATTTGTGAGCAGCACTTGCATACAACTATTTTGTGCATGATACATCAAATTATTCAAGTCAGTTTACATTGCATACTAAAATTAATATTAATTTATAAATACACAACTTACTATAGTATTTTATTATTAAAAGTCATTTGAATATTTTTTGTCTAATAATATCTTTTTAGACAATAAAAACATTATACAAAAACAACAAATAATTACAACAAAAATTCACAACTTTATACCTCTATCTTTTGCAGAGTAAAGTATTGTGGTGCGATGAAAGATTTCAGATTTATTCAACACACACCACTTCAAGAATGGACACTGAAACATGTTCGAACTGTTAATGAATACTTGCATGGATATAACCAAAAATATTGTCAGTTTAAGAAACTAATCAGTGAAATCTTCAACAATTTAGTTTAAGAATTATCACTTCATATTTTTTATTGTTCTATGGACAATTACTAGATGTCGTTTTAAGTTTTCATTTCTAGTAAATCTCCTTGAACATATTCTGCACAAAAACATAGGTGCAACACCACACTCAAGTTTCAAATGCTTTCTTAGATTACAATTCCGCTGTGGGCCCCTATAGAGACGACCACAATAATTTGGACACAGAACTGGGTCAGATTCCCATACCTTTTGAACATTTGTCAACGCACCTATAAACATAATCAAAATGTATATTAATTTATGTGTGACAAATGTTATTGCCTTTAGTAAGTAATTTGAACAAAACATTTTGGAAGCAAAATGATTATTGATTAAGCTAGGTATACGTATATATATTGTATATAAATTAAACCTGTTAACTACCACAAAAGCGGCATCTATCGCAAAACATATTATATATAATACAATATATTAAATAAGAATAATATACCCACTGCAAAAAGAATAACAACATAAACAAAATCTTGGAACTGCAATTACATATAATCTCTCTAGACATTAAAAAGTGTTCAAACAAATTGTTGATAAAAACATTTATACATAAATTCATTTGTGAGCAAGACATTTTTATCACACCTACCATTAATATGAGTGATACCTACAATGCAATATTTCAGTATTAGTAAAATATTAAATTAGTATAATCACTGTTATTAGAAAAATTTTTCAAATCCAGTTTATAAAAAAAATAGTAATCATATTATAATTAAACAAAAACAATTAGATTTAACAAAAACTTATATTTATTAATATTATTTTTTTTTTAATAGTAAATAATAACATTAATAAGCACTAGTATAGTACTATCAGAAATGTTAAGTATTTTTGTACTCACCATATAAAAATTTACTTGAGTGTTCAATATAACAATTTTAAATTTAAAAACAATTTATATATTTTTTTACAGTATGTTCCAAAAGTACCGTTTGAGCCTTTAGCATCTCTATAGCAAATAAATATATTTAAATAGTTTTTTTTAATATAAAGGAATAAGTAAGGGAATTTTGATTCAAGGTTCAAAAACATTTTATATAATGAAACCATACAAAATTTTTTTTTTAAATCGACCTAAGTTAAAACAAATTAAGTTTTTGTTTTTCTAAGAATATTAGTCATGTTAGCAAGACACAAATCATATAGTCAGGTTTATTTTTAAAACATTTTCAAGGATGATCAAAAACCCAACTTAAAAATGTAAGAAACTTAATAATTGTAAAAAAAAATTGAATTCCATCCCATTTAAATATATTACTTTTCCGCAGAGAAACTAAGGGTAATAGGGACTGATTTTTGGGACACATTATGTTTTATTAACAACAGAAAATCAGGGTATTAAAACATATACATTATACAACATGAATATTATTGACACTAATTATATAAATGATTATACAGATGTAAAATTTGTGTCCTTAATTCAATTTGACCAAGTGAGTAAATATTATGAAATATACATAATTTGTTATTTGCTTATAATTAACAAAAAAAACAAATAATTTTTGAGCGATAGTTTTCTTTACCTAATTAATTAAGATTGTGCACTTTTCACTATGATTGTGCAGATTAGAAGGGCATACTTTGTGAACTTTTTCCATATGTATTTTAAGCTGATACCTTCGGAAAAACCGTTTTAAACATATAGTACAAGGAAATCTTGGTTGTACACCACACTCAAATGTGTGTCGACGAAGATTTATTTTCCGATGCTGACCTTTGTAAAACCTGCCACAATTCATTGGACAATGCGCGGGATCGTATGTTGCAGCTTCTTCTACGCGTAGTAGTATATTTTGATCTGAAAACATGCATTATAACAATAGGTACAGGCAACTACAGCTTAATCTTAATAGGTACCAATAAAAGATCATAATATTATAATGTAGGTTTTTTTTTTTTTTAAGCAAAGCAACTATTTATATGTTTTCTTAAACGTGATAGGTGATTCAACAAGTATGGTACTTAAAAACAAAAATGTAATGCTATATTATAAATGTTTTATATTTGTATACAAATGATATAGATTCGTGATGAAAATTGTCAGAAAATTTAATATTTTGATACAACCCCAAGATACTAAAACACAGTTTTAAGATAAATACTTATGTGCAGCAATGTCATAGAAATATCAAATACTCAATAATATGTTCAATTATCTATTCATTTTAATTACAATTTTCTCACAAAATGTCTGTTACCTACTTATGAAAGTAAAAAATATGAATAGATTTAATTAATTCACTAACTGTTGTCAGGAGTCAATGAGTGAACATCAACATTTATAAGTAGTCGTAATATGAAAAAACTTAAAAATATTATGTAAAACATTTTGTGTAAATGTAGTTTTAACTTTTATTTAATTCACAAAAAAATCCATCAATGATTCTGATTTTGATAAAAAGACATCTTATCAATAAGTATTAAAAAGTTTACATAGTTGAACATTAAGATAATTTGAACATAATATACACATAACATTTTAATTTATAATATTATATATGTTTATACGTGTAGTATATATTTATTTTTGGTAACTAATATAAACAAAAATCAAATGAGTAACTACCAAATCTCTTATCTGATGAAATAATATGGTAACTATAACAAAATCAAAAATTCTAAAATTATTCAACATCAAAATAATAATTTTATACCATAAACTGTTACTTGAATTGAGCTTAAATTCTAAACTATTATCAGTACCTATAGTTGTTAATTGGAATTCAATTTTTGTTCCAATGAAAATACTAGAATAATAATATATACCTTAAATTAACAAACAGTGTTAATTTACACTTTTTGACGTTCAATTTAAGTATATATTTGAAAAAAAAAACACTAATTTAAACAGTAAATCAATACTAATTAAAAATTAATTGGTAAACGTATGATAATATATTATATACGTATTGTATATATGGCACTAGATTATAAGTTAACATTCTTTATTGTGTGATTAAAGTCAAATATATAATGGTCAAAAAATATTATGACATAGTATTGTGATTAGAACCTAAAATTATTTTATGAACAACTAGCATATGCATTTTCAAATTTGCTTTCAATGAGAAGCTTTTTGGGCAGGCTAGGCATTTGAATTGTGGTGCTACTCCACACTCATATTTCAAGTGCTTCTGCAAGTTGTATTTACGCCACATACCCTTGTAACACCGTCCGCAGTTTTTTGGGCAATACACAGGATTTTCATTAGCGTACCCATCATTCTTTTTTAACATAAAGTCTGAAAGTAAAAGTAAGTACACCTCAATAAAATAATATGTCAAAATACATTCAACAAATATAATAACCCAAAATAATATAATTCAAGCTGGTTTAGATATTGTTAATTTTTTCAATCATACATACAAAATGGCAAAATCTCATTTTTAATCATATAATTATTTGTTGTACGGGCAACTAAAGCCACATCAACAACATTAATATTGTTTTATTTTTATTTTAGTATAAATAATACAACAGCCAACAAAGATTTCAATTCATTAAAATAATTTTAAAAAGACATTAATTAATATTTAAGCAAAAAATTATTATGATATAATCATAACCATCTAATATGTATAACTATTATGGGTATGATTATCATCATATTTATTTTAATAATCTATATCAAAACAGAAGTCTTTCATTAGTGTTTGGTTTTAAGCATATATTGAATTTGGAAATATTATTGATAAAAACAAACATTCCAGTAATACTAAGTAATCAGTATTTTCAGTAAAAGGATGATAAATAAAAAAAAACTGATATGAATAAAAAGTTTTTATCAATATTCAATATTTATATTTTTAATTATGGAGTATACATCACATTATTATACATGTTGTAAATCATATCCCAGTATAAAATTATCAAAATAAAATAATATAACAAATCTAGTTAGAATTTTAAAAATTGTGTAATTAAAAGTAATATTCCAAAATAATAACATTTTTATGTCTGGAACATTTTGTTTTTTGGCACTACCGATATTAATATACATAGTTAATATAACAACAGTAAAAACTAAACATACAATAAATCAATATTGTTAAAATTTTAAGAATTATAAATAACTTTATGAATAGTTCCCAAATGATATTTCAAACCGCGTACACAATTGAATTTTTTCATACAAATTAGGCAAGTTACAGTTTTTCCACATTCTTTCAGCAAGTGTAATTTAAGATTACCTTTTCGATTTTGTCCTCCAAATTTTCGACCACAATTTTTTGGACAAATTGAAGGGTTGTTTTTTACAATTTGATCCAATTTGGTCAGCCAAAATATAGTATCTGAATATATAGAAAAACAAATTAGTTTGGTTATTTTTATAATTCATTATATAAGGTCTATACATTAAACTTAGAACACATAATCAATTGCTTCAATAAGTTCATTATTTAATGATTTGTTCATGTATCATGTTTTCTCTATTTCTAATAAGTAAATGGTAATAATTATTAATTATTAATTGAGCCCAATAAGCAGTTTTTAAATATTTAGAAGTGTTTAGCTATAAGGTTATACTTATGTACATATTTCCGCCAAAACAGTATTCACTAAGCAGTTTTAGAAAGAAAATTGTTGATGAATGCATGTTTACAATCATATTTAGCAAACGACACACAAATCTTACTCGTATGTTTTCAAATAGAATGATTTTTAAGACGTTCAAAATTAGTTACCATTTAATAAAAATTTATTATGAATTATAAAAATAAAATACCTGGAATTCCAGTGAGCATGGCTCGATATAAAACAACAATAATATTATGATTTGAGATACCTCTGTGACCACTATAAACAAGTTCTTTGAAGACTTTAAAATATTGATCAACTTATTTAATTCTATTGTTAACTTCTGTATTAAATAGTTTACAACCAGTTAAGTTATCCACTCCCTAACTCACATTGAAAATGTATGCTTATTTCTATCATAGAACAATTTTCTTTCTCTCTTTTATGTTTCTGTCAATATTATCAAATAATGTTATAGTATTGATAACTTTTTGCTCTATCTTTTAAATATTATAATTATTTTAATTTATTGTAAAACTATTAACTATATATGATTAACCACAGTTAATTTACTCGATTTAATATATACCAACTGTATTAATTGTAATTGTCAAACTATTATAGTTGTAGGTTGAAAGTTCTAAATAAAAAAAATATTATGATTTCTGCAATTTAGAATACAAAATGAATCATATTAAATCGTATTCAAAATTAATACCTATATAATGTATTATTATTATTATACATTATTATATTATTATTATTATTATATATTATTAAATAGTATTAGTAATTAACCGATTCAAAAAAAAAAAAAATTTAAATAAACAACCAAATAAACACATTTATTTTTTCAAAGAACGGAAAGTTCCTCTTTTAAGGACTAAACGTAAACAAATTCAATTTTTTAGTTAACATTCAGAGCCATAACTATGTATTTGCTGTAAAGATTAGCAATCATATTGATAGAATTAGGGTATAATTCAGTTACACCTACAGTTAGTACAGTTGGTCTAATCATTAAATACAAACACATAATTATAAAACTAATCATAATAAAATCAATAATAATAACAAACAGGATAACACTAGTATTTGTTACACTAATTATTTTGATAAACATTTTAATTTTATATAAAAGCATAGAAAAAACCTATTTTAATCTTAGATGAATCCCAACATAAATAAAAAAACAAAAAATTATTATGTAGTACTGACAGTAATATACATTTAAAAGACATGCTGTGTTTTTAAGTATTCTTATCATAACTATTTACCTACATTATTATTATGGTAGGGAGAAATTAACACATTAATATTCACAAAACTAACTATGTTTTTGTTCCTTAAATTCAATAACATTGATCGTCGTCTACTCAAAACACTAAATATAAAAATTAAATAATGAAAATCTTTTATTTATAATTTATTAACATTACTGAAACAATATATTCTATGCTCTTTGTTTAAAGATTCTATGATTAAAATTAAAAAATAATAAATAACAATTATTTTTAATAAAAGAAAAGAAAATGTATATTCTATTCAAAAAAACAATGAAATATCTTACAAGTTGTAGGCAAAAACTAACGATTATTAAAAAGTTTTTAGTGTAAATGAAATTAGAGTTTACTAAGTGAAATAATCAGTAGATAATTTTCAAGTTATTGGTTATCATATTTTGTATAATATTTAGTCAAAAACTAAATGTGCAAGTCTTAAATGATTAGTTAGACCACGTTTATGGGCAAATTTTTTAAAACATATTGAACATTCAAAGTTGTTTGCGTCAAGACATGTCATGATATGTTCTACATACAGATTTTCAGCATTTGGACCTAAAATTATATTTTTACAATTTTTACATCGATAACAATTTTCTGTTTTAGTTTCAGTTACAGAACATTTCTTCGGTTCCTGTTTTTTTGATTCTGGTTGTTGAGAAATTGTAGATGCTGATAAAACCGGAACTGCGTCTAACTTTGGTTTAGTAGTGATTCTTAATTCTAGAATAAAAAAAATGTCCATTAGTATGAAATAAATAAATATTACAACAAACATATTTTGTTAGTAATGAACTATAGCCATAAAGCACTGTTATAATATAAATTATTACATATTATACTATACAAATTATTAAAAACATACAATATATACAATAAACATATGAAAATATACATAAACACTAAAATGTTATGAATTTTTTTATTTTTTTATTTATAGGTACTTATTAATTTACCAATTATTTCAGTTAAGTATAATAGTATAAAATATGAATGACAAATGTATTAGTTTTTTGTAGTAATACTTTTTCAACCTAAACATATATATATATATATATATATATATACTGTTCTTTATACATCATAGTAAATTATTGTTATACATTTTTAAACAACACAACACAACAAACAATAAATAAACAATATAAATTAAATATATCTATAAAATGAAATAATATAACAAAAACAGAATTATTTCTAATTAACATACACAGTAGTATTCATAAAGTTAAATATGTAATACAACAATTAGGAGTGGTTAAAATGAATATAATTGTGCACAGTAATCATATGCTTTTTAAGATTATACTTTTGGGCACAAGTCTTATTACAAAAACTACATTTGAACTGTGGTTCAACACCGCATTCATATGTTACATGTCGATTCATTGAATCTTTTCGTGTATATCGCCGACCACAGTTTTTCGGACAGCGATACATAAGTGGCATTGCAGTGGACTCATCAGCACCTAATAACAACAAAAGAAAAAACAATACAAATTTAATCAAAATGTCATTTAACTGTTTTTCTGAAAAACAAAATGTCAGCAATTAAAAATAAATAATTCAATATTGTTTAAAATATCATGATCAATCAAATAACAACCAAGCAGACAATATTAATAGATAAGTTTGTCACTACAATAAAGTATATACTCTAGATACACACATATTAGGCAGTTCATTACATCTCTAAAAAGTTTAAACGGAAAAGAAAAATCAAGTAACAAGCAACTATTAGTTATAACCTATAATATTGATTGATCTTTATACATTATTACATCATCTATTTTTTTTCCAAAATAAATTATAATTCTTGATAATTTATAAAGAGTATTGATTCATTGTTTGAATGCCAAAATACAGTTTTTTTTTAAATTTAAATAAAGAATGATTAGCATTTTATCATATATAATATTAAATTAGTATGTATAAATAAGGGTTAAAACCAAGATAATATTTTTGGTGAACAAACATCACATCTTAATACTTCATTGCACCACTTTTGAAATATGCGCAATTTGTTGAATAATAGCTTCAAGTCGAATTTCAAATGGCTTAAATTTAGATTGCAAAACAAAACTAATTCGGACAGAACAGTGCCACAGTCCCATGTAGAGTAATATATTCCTGTAAAAAGCATCAAAAAATATATGAGTAAATGGCTAAATAAAATACCTATGAACTAATTATTATATAGTAGCTAGAAATTTTTTTGTCAAAAAAACCTGATTATTTCATGTTATGATATTTCAAAACATAACTATGGAAGTAAATTAGATACCTTCTCTAATGTTAATATAATTATAATACATAAATATGCATCAATGATAACCAATTTCAAATTTTAATCACTGGTATTTAATTTTGAAATTGATCTAGAGATTTCTTGTTTTCTTGACATAAATAATTGCCTCACACAATAAGTCCAACCACTTACTGCCACTTACTAGTAGTAATTATGTACTACCAATTAACATTTCTAAAAATACAAACATAATTATAATATTGTTTATGTTAAAGAAATATGCAGAAAAATTTGTCTAAGGTATTATTTTTTATTGGTAAACAACTGTCTACATTTTCATATTAATTTTTTAGATTTACATTATTATATAAAATAGCAAAAATAATGGCGAAAAAAATATAATATTATATAATTAAAAAATTCGAGTTATCAGTCATAATCTAATAATAATTAATCAACAGTTTTTGTACACCGTGAAAACATTTCCTTGAAATATTTTGAACAGAATATATTGTGTTATTTGTACGTATCAGCTATCACTAAGTTAAATTTACAACAAAAATTCACAAGTTCCGTAATACGCAACTATCTGATGACTCCGAAACATTGAAATTTATAGGCTTAATTATAGGTTAGTAAGTTCAAAATTTTAATTCAGTATACAATGTACTCATGAATGTAGAATGTATTATAATAATATGTACTACTTTTTTGAGTCCAAAATGAATTAACAGGTACCTACTCTACATAACAAATACGACTACATTGTGGAAATTCACATTGTTATTACTTTAAATTTAATACAATTCTCAATGTATATATCGTATGTATTGTCTCTTCATAAAAAGTTTTGATTAATATGTATAAAAGTGTTCGCACAAATAATATTAATTATCAAACCGAAAAAAACGGATTAAACATTTTATCTAGCAATAAATTACGGGACTTAACATTTTAATGAAATAGGTCAATAATAAGACACATAGTTCCGGTAAAAAATAAATACACACAAATACTCACAAATATTCAACATAAAATAAGGTAATAAATTGTCTAATACAATACGATTATCTTAACCTATTGGCTATTAATACAGTACAATAATATTAGACATTTATACATATTTCAAAAAAAGTTTGAAAAATCGTTTAAAATTATGACAAGTTTTATAATAATTAACAAATTGCATAATAGGTACAATGTACATTGTATTTTAGGGTTGACTCATTATTAATTTGAATGTATTTGACACATAATTTAATTTTTAATCAAAGTGCGCTTATTGTGGTATAAGTACATAACGTCTGAAATTCATATCGAAGTATATTTAATTTTATATTTAGTATAATACCTCACACCACTGCGAATCATTAGATTTTTAAAGTGTATTTTTATAAATACAATATTGGAAAAAAAATGACCGAATAAGATCATAATTATTATTATTAAAAAAAACTTATTTCTAGTATAGTTATTTATTGGCAATGAAAGAATATCGATAGCTTTTAACGTATAATCGTGGGTAAACTACTATCGCGGTGAAAATCTGTGTGTTGAATCTAATGTCAAAGGCTTATAAATAAGCACAGATTTGCAATACACTGTTCCAACACGAATCCTATGTATGAGAAAAATTATATTTTTAGTGTTATCGTCGGCGATTTGGTCAGTGGCAGACGTGCCGCGATTGACGGGTGTACACTATGCGCGACTAGTGGACGGTGATTGGTAGGACGTGGAGTGTACAATGTCGGAATCATTGAAAAGTCCCTTATGCATTTGAGTCATGTGTTTCTTCAAACTGAAGTTGTATACAAATTTGCGCCCACACACTTGACACTCGTACTTAGGATCGATACCACACTCGTGCGCTATGTGACGCTTCATGTGTTCCAACCGCTTGTAGCTGCGGCCGCAATTATTCGGGCATATTATCCTCTCCCTGGCTCTGGCGGCGTTGGCAGTTAACCGCAACATGTGTTCTTCGTAAGTGTAGTCGTTCGGATCAAATGACGTATAGACAGCTATACGCATGGGTATGGCCGAGAACAGAAAACAGAACAAAATACAATTCGTGAATCTCGGAACGGCAATAATAGTTAAATATAATAAGTTATATAATATAACTTATAAGTTTATATAAGTTCACACACTCGCACGAGCACACAAATAAACATTACACCGATGGCATGCATTATCATTGTATACATGCAGGGGTGTTCTCGCGGAGGATAAGTCCTTCTAACTGTTTCGGCTTTTGTCATAACCAATATTGATTGAGTAATAATATAATACAATATTTTTCTATTGTACTAAAAAGTGTAGATATGCACATAATTCAAAGATATGACTGTATTATACACTGGTATCTACATACTTAAAATGTGATTTCAAAGAAAAATAGCTGCAGTAAAATCACCCAAGTACGCTCTACTCAAATATATTTTGTGGCGTGTGTAATACAGTTTGTAATTTAGTCATATTCTCCCCCCTCATAACATTGAGAATTCCTGAGAACGTCACTGAATAGGTATACCTGGATATTCATAGTGAACTATATATATGCAATGCAGTATAGTATACGGTGCGGGTGTGAGAACATACAAACTACAACGCATAATAAGCCAACAGTTATGTTTATTAAATACTTAAAAACCAATCAAGGTACAACTAAAAATACATATAGATAAAAGTATAAATCAAAGGTAAAGCACAATGCGATGGATAGGTGTAATGCAAGCAGAAATTAAGAAATGTGTCGTAAGATACAACACATCAATAAGCTAGGAGGCATATATAACTATTATAATATTACAAGGACAAAATTATATTTTTTCGACAAAACACTACTTTAGAAGCTAGTGCACACTTGTGATGACATGCGTTGGATAATAATATAATACCAACAAGTGCACATTTTTTTTCTACATAATAAAGTAAATGGGCCAATGGTACCTAAATAACTATCGAACAAATTAACAATAAACACAAATAAACGCAGGTACTATATTTTAATCGATCACCGATCAGTATATATATTATAAATTATAATAAAATGTATTAATAATATCACATTGAACAATATAAAAACAACGTCGTTAAGACGGATGACAACAAATTTAAATTGTTGTAGTTACAAAATCGAGTATAGCTTTAGCTTCAGAGGCAGGCCGCACTCGTATCGAAGATGCTGATTAACTAATTGATTGTACTTATACGACCATCCGCATTGTCTCGAGCACACAAATCGGGAAACTGTAATCATAAAAAGCATCACAAACATACGGTTAGTCAAAAGGAAAGAAATTAGTTAAGTAAACTGTAGTTGGTAAACACTCTCCGGAGTCTGGGCCGCTACAAGTATACACTGTGATCGATAGTTATATGACTTAAACAACTGCAAATAGGACTGACGAATCGCACATGAATATGATTAATGTCTGCACTATTTTGGTATTAAAAGTAAGAATACATTAAGGTGAATTACAATTACAATTTTAGTATTTACTATTTAGTAAATTAATACACATCTATAAGATATTTTCTATTTTTATTTCTTATTTTGACTGCACATTAGTCCAATATTAATAAAACCCCAAAACTTACAACATGTGTTAACTGGGTACCTCCTATTAAACGTGAAATAATAATTATTAGTGAAATTATATTAACTAATATTCCAGTGAAACTATCTACTTAATTGGGGATAATATGTGGTGGACAGTAGCAATGTGAAACATGGTTCCATGCAATTCGAATGTTTTGCCACATACCGAACACTTAAACTTCGAAGCTACGCCGCACTCGTAACGCAGGCGCTGTGTAACTGCAGCTTGCTTGTACTAACGGCCGCATCCATTCGAGCACACAAACCGAGACACTGCAATCACAAACAGTAACACGGACAAGCGATTATTGTAGATCACGACGTAATACGGTTAGTCAATAAGTATAAGTGTAGTAAATTGTCGTTGGTTAACACTTTCTAACAACTTCAAATAAACACTGTGATCGAGCTAAGTGGCTTAGACAGCTACCTACAGGTAGGACGAATCATATAATGTGATTCATGCGTGCAGTTATTGTGGTTGTATAAGTAAGAATACAATACAGCCGCATTCACAGATACGTGTGTCGTGTCGTGCGAGCGCTTGGTAACTAATGATTACAACTGGTAACCTTATTGGTTTAAAAGTTGATCTGTAGTCAATACTTGGTATAGTCGATTGCAACTTGGTTTTACATGATACCAAAAAAATAATGTCCAATCACAATTTTAATTGATAGACACGACACGGGGTAGCTGTGAATCTGGATGAATGGAATTGTTAGTACTTAGAAAACTAATAATACACAACTATTAGGTATTTTTTATTTATACATATTATTTTTACTGCAAATTAAAAAAAAAACAAACTATAATTTATATAATGCTGGAACTTGTAAAAATTGTAACTTAAGTAAAGTCATATTAAAGATAAAATAATAATAATTAATTCAATTCAATTCAATTTCAGTGAATTGGTCTATCGATGAGTAGGTGGTGAACGGCAACAATGTGGGAATTTAAGGTGCTACGCTGCTTGAACGTTTTGTCACACACCAAACACTTAAACTTAGGAGCTACGCCACACTCGTAACGCAGGTGCTGCTTAACTCCTTGCTTGTACTTGTACGATCGGCCACATCCGTTCGAGCACACAAACCGGGGCACTGCAATCATAAACGGTAACAAGGAAATGAGATTATTATTATGGATCACGACGTCATACCTAGATAGGTTTATATGGTTTATATGTATGGTACGGATATAATTTTTTACATTATTATAGCAAGTATAGTAGGTAAACACTTTCTGCGCCACTACAAGTACGCACTCTCATCGATTTATATGACTTAATAATAGTTGGAAGTATGAGCGCCGAATGTTATTTTATTTATGCGTTCATTCATTTTGATTGTATAGGTAAGAATATATTGAGGTGAAAAGAAATGTTAATATTCAGTAAATTAATACACATATGTAGGATACATTTTATTTTATATTCTTCTACTGACTGCACATTAATCAAATATTAATATACAGTCACATCTTGCAGAATTTGTAAACTAGGTATCTCTTATTAAACGTAAAATAATGATTATTAGTTCAAATATTTTCCAGTGAAACTGTCTACTTATTAGATGAATATGCTATGAACGCTTTGTGACACAGCGAACACTTGAACATTGGAGGCATGCTGCACTCGTAGCGCAAGTGTTGGGTAACTCCTTTTTGTACTTGTACGACCGGCCGCCCCCGTTCAAACACTTGAACCGTGAAACTACAACAATAAACAGTAAAGCGGACAGGTGATTAGGTGATTAGGAGCTATACTTTCGGCACAGCTATTAATTATTATACTGGTAAATGGTAATATTATATATGAACCATAAAAAAATCGTCATCGATAAACATTACCTGGGCGTTAATAGTACAAAGTTTGGTCGAGTCATCTGAAGGTAACGGCTGCATGCAGGTATAATAATGACAATAATGTTATTGATTCAAGAGTGCAGTCCATAACAATTTCAATTTTTTATAGGTAAGTATATGTAAGGTGAAACAAAATGTTAGTATTCAGTAAAAATACACATCTATATAAGGTAATTTTTTATTTTATCTGCTTTTATTTTTACTAAACATTAAAAAACAACCATAAATAGGTATATTACATTATAATGATGTCGACTATTTAGACTAGGTAATAACCTAAACACCTAATGATACCTACTAAACATATAATGTAGTTGGTATTATGTCATTATGCCACTATGTGTCGAGGCTGACGAAATAGTTTATAGGTGGTAGTTAGTCAATCATAGGTGTCGTGGATGCTCTAAATGTGCTCTTAATGCTCCAGTGCTATAGTTGAAAATTTTGTTACACACTAGACACTCGAACTGCGGCAGCATTCGGGAGCTGCGGTAGTATTTGAGCTAGAGGTCCTACAAGTAGGTATACAGTGTGAAAGAGTAACTACGAAGAGGTAACAGCAGCAAGAATTTAGTTAAGTTTATATGTGATGACATCAATTGTTAAGATTCGGTCAGATATGTAGATCTAGTAGGTTACTTTTATTTGATATTCTTTTTTCGATTTCCCATTAATACAATTAATCTATAATTAATACAATGCTGTGATTCGTAATCTAGGCAGGTATGTATAATAAGTAAACCTAATAAAACGATAATATTATAATACAACAATTATGACACAAAATATTTTGAGGCCAACAAAATGCGTGACACACCCATCTCGGCATCTCACATGCACGGAAACGGTCTGCTAAATCGAGGATAATAATGTTGTACGAGTGGAACGAGTAGAATTAAACATGTATTAACTATTATTACACAGTATTATTGCAACTCGTATATATTACGATATGTGGCCATAACACATTCACGAATGAAGATATTATAAAATGTGTTATCAATGCAAATAAACTGTAAACCATGTACAATTGTAATATATTTAAAATTAATTTGCACTAAACTTGGTAATACATAATATTTTACTCTGAGCGATAAGTAAATTTGTATTTCAATAAGTCTGCCGACACTCGGCAGGGCGGCAGTAAAGTCACAGGTGAGTATTAAAACGAGTATCTCAACAGAAAGACGGGGAACAGTTATAAACAACGAGGTGATATTAAAAATATCAGTTTTTGTAAAATGAATTAAAAGGCGGTGGGATTATAAGTATAGGGCAGAAATATTAACCACCCTAAGAAGGGTTAATGACCTAGTCAAGAGAGGGGTGGGCTTCTTCATATATTATATTTATGTACAAAATATATTACATTTAAAATAATTAACTACACTCACATACAATAGTCCGAGGAAATAATTGTCGATCCTTTTGGAATGCGTCTGTGGATAATGGAATAGTAAAGTGGTATCGAAAGTACTCCTGCAAGGTCATACTGCTAAATATGTGACGGATTAAAAAATTAAAATGTATTATTATTTCCATTTAGGTATTTCTATATAATATATATATATATACATATATTTATGTACAATATTTAATATAAAAATAATAGTATGTATTTAACCGATAGGTAAGTTATTACTATTGATTGTAATAAAATGTTTATAGCTGTAGGTACAATTAACGATAATAAAAACACACAATAATAATATAACATTAAGTAGATGGATATAAATAAATAATAACCACTGATCTCACAGAGAACTGTAAGTTCATTAAAAAAGTGAAGTTTTCATGGTGTATTGCAGATTGAAATCAGAGTCGGTGGCTTTCCTGTGGTGCACCAATACGATGTGTCTCTTCATGTTGCCTTTCAACGTGCATCTCTTCGGACAGTACGGACATTTGTACAGAGGTGGTTTACCGCATTCGTAATTCAAGTGGCCGCTGAGACTGCTTCTGAATTTGTACCTCTTACCACAGTTGTTCGGACACGGATAAGACAACGGCTGGTTAGCAGGTTCAACTAAGAAAGTAAAAACAATACAATTCTATAACACTTGATTAAAGCTCGATGCAATAAGATTAACAGTGGAATACAATATAATATACAGTTATAAGTGACAATATATATTATATGCATACAACTAAACTCACAACTTTATTAGTACGCAAACCTATATTATAAATTATATAAGATATATTCCTATACGACTTGCGAAAAAGCCAATACACCGCCCAGAAGCATATTATATAAATTGCATACACTAGACTACTAGAGTATACGTACACTGTTTCTTAAATAAAGATTAGGTACTTACCGTTTGACGTAATGCGGGTAAAAGCAATCAACAAACGCGACGGTCTTATAAAATTTAAAATCCTATACTAAACGCTTGCATTGATTTTGTAATTTGTTCAATAAAAACAGGTAAATAAAGACAGAATATAACATTTATTATATGAATCATTGATTTGTCGGACAATTTCTGTCAGTTTTATTTGATCTATCACATGCTAACAATAAAGGCTTATGGAAATCTAGAACATGCTCGTCTAAACAATTGATTTCCTTCAGCTTCGTTGGGCAAAAGGGACATAATCCGTTTAAAACCGCGCTATTGCGGCGGTATTCTGCAGGTTTGAAAAATGACTTCGCACGTTTCCGATCATCTGAAAAATACAACGAAAAAGTAAGATACAGTAAAATCAATTTTTAAGATAAGGTCAAAAAAAAAGCATATTATATACAGTTGAACACGTTGCATTTGATATTCTGTATTTTATTTTTCATCAATGTTTTGATTGTAAGCAGCATCAAATGTACTTTTACTATACCTGTGTATTATGATAACAATAGTAATTAACATAAGCAATAACTATACAAAAAAATTAAGTTATGTTATAATAATAACATTTCAGTCATTATTATCGTTCTGGTCGATCAATCTATGTATTTGCATTATTTACGTGTAAGTTATCGTGTAAAAGTGTACAACATAATAAATAAAATAATTAACGCAAGAGCTTTTGTTTTTTAATAGTTTAAGCATAAGAAAATGCATATAACGACATTGTCAAATATTTGACCTTTCTTCTGAAAGTGGTTAACAGTTGAAAGAGGGCGAAAATGATGACTGATGCACATGTTTAAGGTGTGAAGTGAAATTTGATTTCTGGTGGAACAGCTTATGACAAATCTTGCACTCATACAGTGGTTGTTTGCCGCATTCGTATTTTAGATGAAAGCCAAGGGAACGTTTGTTTTTATAACTTCGATAACAATTGTTGTTGTGCACATTTGGACAGCCGTATCGTATTGACATCGCGTCTAAACAATATATTATTCTATGTAGACGACAACAATAATTAAAAGTTAAAAGTACGGGGGAGAGGCAAAAATGTAATACCTAATAATGGATACACGTACAATTAAATATATGTTAGAACGCAATATATTAAAGCAAATAATTTTAATGCATTTTACAAAAATAATAATAAATTAATAAAATGGCGAAAGCAAATAAATTCCTTTGAAATGAACTTGAACAAATCGACAACAAATATCTATATAGTATATAATCATCTAAGTTAAACTATAAAATATTTAATACAGAAAGAAACGTTGTAAATTAAAAATTAAAATTATTTTATTAATATTAGATTAGTAGATGAAATTAAAAATATTTATTGAATGAAAAAGTAGGAACTACAACCACAAAACTCCAATTAATCAACGATGTATAAGTAAATAGTTTGATTCATTGTTATAATATATCAGTGCTTCCCAAACTTAACCTTAGGAAACGCTGATATATATTATATAGATATACTTATAACCTGTTTTAATATATTAAATTACGAAATAAGCATTGTAAACTGTAGGTCTGCAAAGCAAACAAATTATAAAACAAAATAGGAACTATATCGTAAAATACAATATTGCTAAATCAGGTACGTATGCCTAAATTAACTTATAAAATTATAGTTTTTACGACTTATTAACATTGATTATATGCCACTAGTGATAATTGATAACTGGTTACAAAGTTAGGTAATACTTTAAAATCATATAAAAATATAACTATAGATACCCAAGTTTTAATACTTTAATTAATGCATAGGTATGTGTGTATTAATACTTTATTAGTCAAAAACATAACCACACTTAAAAGATTCGAATGTTTTGATGAATATTTTGTAATTATTTAGATATTAACAATAGTTAAAGCCTAAAAGTACCGAAAAAATGAATAGTTATTTTTGGTTTTGAATACTTAGCAAATACTTATTAACTTAAAAAAATATGTATTTACAGATTGGTATGCAAACAGTTTACTAATTTTAAATATCACTAATAAGTCATTAACACAATATTGAATATAGGAATGTATTAGGTTGTTGAGATTTGCTTATTTTAATTATTTTTTAGGAGTTATTTTTTCAGATTTTTATAGCGTCTAATCGCGGTTTCGTTCAAAAGTAAATAGTAATAAAGAAGTTATATTGTATCAGTAATATTAAATAATTTAATACTATAGTGGACAGTGACCATACGCGTACATTTGGTTAGAGATCAATTAACAAACATAAACATCATTTGTTATACCTAGAGATTAAGTTAGGAATTCCTTGGGGGGTTTCAAGAGTTTTAGCACTCCCTCCGAGCCACCCAATTTGCACCTATACTGTTAGTTCGTAAAACAAAAGTGAAATAAAGTGGTATCTATATAAAACGATTTAAAATCAATTTAAATGTTCACTCGTTTTTTTTATAATATGTAATTCTTATACTTTGGTTATTGCCTTCAACAAAAACTTGTAAATAAATCTCTGGTAAATAATCGAAAAATGACTTCAAAAGAACAAAGTCAGGGGCTGATGTATTTATGTACTGTGAACATGTGTTTCTTCAGGTTTGAATTTCTCGAAAACATCCTTAGACAAAAATCACATTTGTACAAGGGTTGTTTTCCACATTCATACTTCAAGTGGTAGGTCAAATGGAATTTGTTCTTGTATCTGCGACTGCAATGTCCATTGACACAACGCCAAATTCTAGTACCTGAAATGCGTCATATTAGCCTGATCGTTTATTAATACTATTCAGAGCAAAGCATTTATACAAAAAGCCGTGTATTAATGATATTTTTTAAATCTGTGATATTCTACAAAATTAAAACATAAAAAATAAAGTAATAAACACCAACCTATATATATTCGTTTTAAATTGTATTTCTTAGAGGAATAACGATAATTGACGATCATAAAATAATAAATACATTTTGAAATAAAAATAAAATGTTTTTTTTTTGTTATTGTTCTGCACTTTTAAAATTATACGTTAGACTATAAACCTGCATTTCTAGGTTAATCAGATACTTACAAAAGATAATTACAAAATTAAATAAAACAAACATGTACTTTTATTATTTTGTTATTAAATACAATATACTTAAACGTCCTTTGATATACTGATAGATATTAAACATTTTTAACGGCCGACCTATTAGAATCATTCTAATAGTTATATAGTTTACATTTTAGTATAAATGGAAAAAGATCATAAAGAATTAAATACTTGATAAGAAATGTAATTGTTCTTATAACTAATTAAATAGTTATAATTGTATTTAACGACTTACTGCATTTCACTTTAAAACATGCGAAATATAAATAGTCAATACCTACTTAAAGTAAGCACACACAGATTATATCATTTCATTTACGAGTACCCATGATCATTTTTTTTTTTTATATAAGTGCTAAAAGTTCCCTGACAAAGATGTACCTAAATAAAATACATATAACATTCCTTATCTTGTAATTATAATACATACACTGAACACAGATAATTCAATACATTTAAATTCAACCACTTAAAATATTTCCAAGTTCCTGAAAAATTTGTAAATTCACAAAAAAATACAAGATAAACATATGAATGTGGGTAACCTCATTTTTATTGATTTCTTTTATTATTTGAATAGGAAAACATACAACTCATTCAAAATACACATAATACTTACCTACCTTATATATATTTAATAATATTATAAAAAATAAATACCAAAAGTATTTTTTATTTAAATATTACTTGAGCTTCCATAACTCACATAATATTACATAAATTAAATACATGTTAGAGTAAATTCATCAACAGATTTTTTTAAATATCGATTAAATATGAGCCATATTGACTATGTAATGTTAACAATTTAAAACTTTAATTTTTATTAAAGAACGCATTTATATATATCACTGAATAAATATGTTGTACTTAACATAAGACAATATATTATTATATCAATGTTCTATGCCGAAGGAAAACGATATTAATTACATTGTAAATGTAATATATTATCAATGAAGATTTTTTAATTTAGTTATATTTATTAAAGAACTTACTTGTAGTTTATTAGTTCATTATCATTAAAAGTACAAGCATAATATAATATATACTATTATAAAAGTATCGTAAAATATACGTACTTTTCAAACATATTTTATTTTAATTGTACAACAGAAAGTATAAGATTTACATTAAATATTGTATAATAAATTTATCTTACATTTCTATGTATATTTTTAATCAAAATCGTAAAATACTGATGTGGAAAATTAAATTAAAAATATAATTTGATATCTATGTAAATATGACAACCATTTTCATTAAAATCATAAAATATACTGCCTAGTTTTTAAATGCATTGCTGGTTTTTCATTTTACTCTCGAATTTTAGTCATTATTATTACTATTTGTTCAGAATAATAGTTTATCTATATACAATGGGAATAGGCAGTAAAAATAATTTGATGTTGAAATCAACAACTATATTATCATATTACTGAGCTTGTTATGTACTGATGACATATGAATTTTCAACACGTTTCTATACGCAAAACATTTCATACATACTGCGCAAGAGAATTTGGGTCTTACACCGCATTCATAGCGCAAATGTTGTCTGACACCATGTAACGCTTTGTAACTTCTGCCACACTGGTTGGGACATTGATACCGTTCGTCGACTATCACAAAGTCTTGTTTATTTAACTTCCAGCACACTAGAATAAAATGTATATTAATTACTGGAGATTATTTAAAATAGTATATAAGTTTAATATTTCGATACAGAAGTATGAATATAATGTTTAGAATATGGGGTTACATGCCAAATTTCGTACAAGTCATATAAAAAAAAAATAATAATAATAATCAAACACAGCCTTGTTAACATTGTATAATTATATGGACTAATTAGGTTGTCGTAGATTGGTATTTATAATAAAAAATAATTAACGAACACAAGGTTATTTTTTCAAAAAATGTCGTTCGTTTGATTATTATAACAAGTGTCCACATATTTACAGTTACAATTTACAATCTAATTAATAATACGATAATAGTATGTACTTAAAAATATACGTTAAAATTACACAAAACATTAATATTTGTATCGAAAATTATAAAATGCAAATATATGAGTAAATAAAATAAATAAATACGATTTTGTTTAGAACACAATATTTTAGTAAAGTTTTACGAGTACAGAGAATGGGCCATTCTCTGGTGTTTCTTTACGGAATCCGATCTAGAATATTTTTTACCACAGTATTGACATTCGAAGTCTACGCCGCAAAATTTGAAATGTTTAGCGAAACTCGGTCGTTTGTCATAAGTACGTCCGCATTTGGGACAAGTGAATGTTTCTGAAACCCCTAAGGACGAAAAAAATCGTGAAAATACATTTTTAATTTGTGGAAAAAAACCTTTGTGCACATTTAGATTTCATTGCGTTATATTAAATATATCATAATATGTGACATCTTAGAAAAAATGTATATTATTTTTCTAATTATAATCACGGTGTACAAGAAACGTGCATTAAATAAGAATAAGAACAAAAAAATTAGTTGGGTAGGGGAAACCGGTGCAAAATTATAATTCATTATAACTAGGGCTTAACCAAGAATAGTTGTTAGTTGTTACTAATATTCAAGAGGATGTCAGCTATTTATTGTTCTCTCTCTAGCCCACGCTCAACATATCAAATTTACGTTCAGCAGAACCAATCTTATGTCCTTACTTTTAGTATTAGAGTGAATTCACCTAATATCAAACTTTAAGTTAAGAACATAACCTATGTCGGTGCTACGTTTGCTATTGTATGATATTTTCATTTTTATGGAAGTTATGACTGTGTAAAATATTACAATTTGAAAAT